TCTCTATCAACTATAAGTAGGCATCCTTTTCAAACCCTGCTCTGAATAGGGAATTAATTTCTTCAAAGCACTTTCTTAAAATACAATAATTGCTTTGATCCACAAGTTAGAAACAAGGCTGTTCCTGTGAGCCTTTGAAAGCAAGTCTACAGTACAAGCCTAAGTGCTGAAAAAAACCCTGAAAGGCAGGTCGACAAAATCCTTTTGGTGCATGTAAAGTCCAAACTATCCCTGATTTCCAACAGTACATTAGAATACACAGCATTTCCATGATAGCAGAAGCTGTTCTGCTTTTTATGCACAGAGCATAGAGCTTTCTTTAACTTCATTATTAGAAGAATATATGACACACAGTTCCTTTGGATGAAGGTAAATTATAATCAATAAAATCCCTTACAACAATTTGGACAATTCAGATTTTGATGCCTGTGGAGTTTGATTTAAGTTGGGCAGGGAAGCAATCATACTACTGTGAGAGTTCAAGTTGTACACAATGTGAGCTGAGAGCAGTTAGCATGTGTCCTGATTTCAGCTGGGATAGAGTTAATTTTCTTTCTAGTAGCTGGTACAGTGCTATGTTTTTGAGTTAGGTATGAGAAGAATGTTGATAACACACTGATGTTTTCAGTTGTTGCTCAGTAGTGTTTAGTCTAAACTCAAGGATTTTTCAGCTTCTCATGCCCAGCAAGAAGGCTGGAGGGGCACAAGACATTGAGAGGGGACACTCAGCCAGGACAGCTGACCCCAACTGGCCAAAGGGGTATTCCAATACCATGTGACGACATGCCCAGTATAAAAACTGGGGACATCACTGCTCAGGAACTAACTGGGCATCGATCGGCGGGTGATGAGCAATTGCACTGTGCATCATTTGTATGTTCCAATCCTTTTATCATTACTGCTGTCACTTTAGTAGTGTTATCATTATCATGATTAGTTTCTTCTTTTTATATTCTATTAAACCGTTCTTATCTCAACCCCCAAGTTTTACTTCTTTTCCCGATTTTCTCCCCCATCCCACTGGGTGTGGGGGGGAGTGAGCGGCTGCGTGGTGCTTAGCTGCTGGCTGGGGTTAAACCACGACAGCATGGGATAAAGCTTCTGCACAAGACTTCTCCAATCCTTTCGCTAGTCTGGGCCACACAGCCAGCTTATGTAGTCACCGAAAAGGCCAGTTCCACATTTCTGAGCAGGTATTAACGTGGTGCCTTCACTTTCTTGGGACACAGGCACGAAGCTCCAGTTAGAGACTGGTGACCCAGCTCAGTACCCTCCCGTGTCCGCATGGCGCAGACCCATCCACACCCAGCCCCTGTGCAAGGTGCTGGTGCTGAGCTGCACCCCTCCCGGCTTTGTGGCTGTCCCTCTGAGCGCGGGGGGCTGTGCATGGCTTCAATGCCGTTTTCCCTTCAGGTGGTCCAAAAATCGAATCAGTACCCAGCATCATAAAATCAACTTACGTTTCTTAATGGGAACTCAGTGAAGAAGAATAGTGAACGATGAGCTTCCTGTGGTTTGTGCACACTCGTGAGGAAGTCTGGTTCATACAGGTATGATACAGTAAGATAACCAATTATAATAGTATAATTTTGATTATTCATCTCAGCAACATGACACTCATTACTGAAAAATGAAGATTTACACCAAGTGGTTTCCTTCTTAGAAAGTTTTAACTCAGACACAGAAACCACCATAGACAGCAGACACTGGTAGTGGTGGTAGAGGTGGGGGTTAAATCCCTCTTACCACCTCCATCTTCAGAAAACCACTCACGACCTGATTTCTATCTTCATGCTCACAAAGTGCAGCCAGGACATCCTTTGTCCATAGGCTCACTAAATGGGCCTCCAGGCTTGAGCCCTAAACTTGTAATCAAAACTCCCACTAAAAAACCACCCACTGCTCCCAGTAAGAGAAATAAAACATGGATCTAAAATAGACTCTTTATTCTGAAAGTGATAGACAACATCCAGAGGAGGAAAAGCAGCGGGGTACAGCTGCTTTTAGAGAGAGGCACACCATCTTCTACCGGAATAAACATTTTTACTCTCTCTCTGTGTAATGCAGTTTATATCAAAAGTTTTAAACCTCACAAGGTAGCTAAGAGCCATTGAACAGTGTTATAAAGCAAAGAGCATGCAGAGGAGCCAGTTGCAACTCTTCTGCATTTGGAGGACTATTAATAACCAAGTGATGGAGAGAGAAGGGTCAGGCAACGGCTGGCACGGACCAAACCTGAATCTCAACGCTGCGATTTTACTTTCTGGAGTATTTAAAAAGGGACAGATGGATGTAGCTGTTTCTAGAAAGAGTGTAGTGATGGAGAGGCTGAAGATGGACTCTTCCTTGAATTGGAATTTAGCCCATCTTTTGAAAACAGCAAAATGCAGCAGGAGCAGTGCCACTAAAATATAAGTAGAACTGAGCTGGGCAGTTGCAGAAACACATCTTAAAACAGCAAGATACAGCTGGAAAGTTCAAATGTGCTCAGAATGTGGCCAATTTTTAGATAGTAACTCACACAATAGATAGATAGGCTATTTATCATGTGCTGAAGTTTTTTCTCAACAGTTTTTAAAGGTTGAATAGATTTTGAACCAATTCATGTTGCTCTGACAATTTTATGAGAACAAAATTTAAAAGAACACAATTATAACTACTGTCCAAAAAGTTTACTCAGGCTTTAGCATCAGACGACATGTATTGCACTACAGGTTTTCAGATGGTGACATGCGACTGTTCCTGGAACCTTCAGTCACTTACACTGCTATAGTTCACAAAACTGATTTTATTTAAATAACCAAGAAGAATTGATACACATTTTATTGAGTGCTTTAGAAGACAACAAGAGATTCACTGCAGCAAGTCATATTTTAAAATACAAAAGAGGAATTAGTGAAAAGAGGTTCATATCCAACATGAAACATGAACACGTTGCTTTCAGGAGCTTTGAGTTTTAAAGACTGAGAATTCTACTTACATCAAACAGTTCAAAACACACATCCACATCACAAAATCTTAGTATTGCACTATAGCTCCTCATTCAAAACACACAATTCACAACATGCATCTGCATTACCCACATGTAAAGGACCATCAGCAACACACCAGCACAGCCAGACAGAAAAAAATCTAGAAAGGGTCAGAGGGGTTGTAAGTTTGCTGGGAGAAGTATGGCAGTCAAATTGAGCAGTTTGGACCACCAGTATCCAACGCAAGCCCTGTTTCTTGCTGGTAATGCAACAGACGTTAGGACTGCAGCTGTGCTACTGTCCTCTGCAGAGGTAGCATAATACTATGGCTTTAAAGACTTTCTTTTAAATAAGGCTTGTCTCAGCTGAAAGCCATATAATAACTGAAGAGTTCTTGTAATACTAGCCTGACGTATAGCATGGCAGCACTTTGGGATCCACTTGTTTAACAACAGCTGCCAAATTCAAGTAGGTGCACTATCTCTTTGAAATCTGCTGCAGCACATAAACAGTTCGGTGCAAAGATGGTAACACCAATTACTTCTTTTTCCCCCTCATCCTCAGCCAAGTGGAGAATGCTAACAGTTGAGAACACAATGGCAGGTGACATAGACGAACGGGAAAATGGAAGTCCTACCAAGCTATAAAAGAGGTTCTACTTTGTCTAAAAAGACAACTCGGAAGAGGTGACAGGCAAAACATTTCCGTCACATGGACAATATGGAAAAACAAGTGAGCATATAACGTTTGTGACAGATACACACTGCCATTGTGGTGCTTAAACCCACCTCACCTTGTATCTAAAATTCAAGACAAAGATCATTTTAATGTTCATTGAAGGTAGAGGTCCTGGGCAGGGGCACAACGCTAAGCTGAATGCTACTCTCCCAAAACAGTCCAATAACAAACCAGGACAGTTTTCAAACTTACAGTTGCTCTCCCTTCTTTTTTCTGTTCCAATCCACCTCACTTTGCCTATCGGGTGCTTGGCTCTGCTGAGGCACTCAGGTGCTACTGTAATACAAATAAGACCATCTTCTCAAGTGGGATTTGGAAAACAGCACAACTAATACTGTGCTTGATACTATGAACATGTTGGAACAAATTCCACACATACAAACATTACAGAACGACTTCTACAAACCATTACAAAAAATGGGACCAACTTCACTGATCTTCAGTCCAAACTCCAAGGCAGATTTGTTAGTCACTAAGACCAAAACAACTGAGAAATAGAAATTAAACTAACATTTAGCTTACATATCATTACATTTTGTAAAAAAGAAAAAAAAAAAAAGTGTTAAGACATTATTAACTTATGAATACATAGAAAATTCAAAATCCCTAACGTTTACAGTACCCCCTCATACTAAGCCTGTTTGTAGTTTCTTTTCCATCAGTGCCAAGTAATTAATCCCAGACATCAACATTGAGATGGCTAACCAAGACATCTCAGGCTGAACAGAGCAACCTCTATTTTTCCTGTGAAGACACAGCCAGTATCAGTGGCCAGCCACTGCCTGGTACAGATTAACCAGACTCAGTAAAATAGAAAAACAACCCCCCCCTTTCCAGGGCAGAGAGCCCCAAGATGCCTCAAACCCCAGAATGGAGATGGCTGCTCTGGGCAGAGCAACACCTCAGAATGCAACATGGCCGTCTCTTTTTGTTACCTACAGGGTTACGTTTCCCATTCCTGTATAGTGCTAGCTCTTCCCTGCTGCCAGCTTTGATTGCATTCAGTGCATGTCACTTGTTACTCAAGATAGAAATTTTTTGTTCTTGTTCCTCGTGTGGTTTGTTTTTTGTTTTTTTAATAAATAATGGAAGTCTACAACATGCTTTTTCAGGTACGTGCTTGGTGATTATTCTAGAACAAGTAGTCTGTAAACCAGTTTGGCCTCTGAGGAATTGTCAGGCTGTCGAGACGGTTGCATTCCATGAGCAGCACCTTGTGTTGAGCGCAGCGAAGGCGGAGGAGAAGCCCTCCTGCATTACAAAGCTCCTGCCTGCTGCGGTGGGGAAGCATCAGCACGAAGAATCTATAAGTCTTTGGCGAAGTTTTTTATCTTCTCTCGGACTCGCGTTGCCACTTGCATCATGGTCCGTCAAAACTAAAAAGAGAAAGTAAAGCTTTAGAAGTGAAAAGGCCACCGAACCACTCGACATATTCTCGCTGACAAAACTAAAGAGAAAGTAAACCTTTAGAAGTGAAAAGGCAACCAAGACAGCGGGGCAAGGCTGGCTGTCCTGCACCGTGCTGGAGCTGCTGAGCACCCTCCAGATGTGGCACCCAGCGGCACGATGGCCTGCAGCCTCTCCTGCCCTTACGGTCCAGTCAGCATCTACCACTGGTTTGTTAACACGGTTACTAATTGAAACATGCCGATGCCACTAGTGGCAGAAGAAAAAAGATGATGAGCCAGAGGCGAAGCTTTGCTGATGGGCGGTGAAGTCTGCAGCTGCACCCAGGCCGAAGGAGAGGGCTGCACCAGCCGAGGCTGGTCATGAAACGGCAGCTTCTTTCTGCAGTGCATTTTAACAGAGCGTCAAGCATGACTTTGTTCTGCTCTGGAGGAAAACAAGTCTTTGAAGTGTTTTTGTGAGATGAAAACAGTCTCCAAAGTTCTGCTTTCAGATAAAAATGAGTCGGATTTTGTATTAGCTTTTTCAGCTCCTTGAGCAGAGACCTCCACCTTGGGCTCTTAAATTCTCCTACCGAAACCCACCCACCTGTCATTTCAAAAAGGGACACATTTAAGACAAAAACTATTTTCTGTCAGAATTACTCCAAACTTCTGTACTAGAGCTGGCTGCCAGAAGTGCTTCTTCTAGTTTGAAAATAATTCTGCCTGTTTGTTTTGAAGTCCCCTGTTGTATAAATTGACTTCTCCAAACCTCAGCCTGCCAGAACTGCTTGACCAAAATATAGAGGAACAGTTACCCTCTGGGTGCTGCTGCTTCTTTTTTATTAAGCACATGGCATAGCTTTCTGAAGAGAAAGTAGATTTAATTTTTTCCTGCCTTTGAAACAGTTCTTTACCTTGCCCTCAGCATTGTGCTCGCCTACTCAGGTCAGCTGCTAAACATTTCAAAGCACCTTCACTTCTGTGAGTCAGGGACTTTGTGAAGAGGCAGCCCACAGAGTCTGAACTACTTCAGTCAGGGGATGCAGGCACTGGTGTCCTGCTGCTTCTGTGCCGACAGCTACGACAGCAGCCGTGCTTACATCAAATGGGAAGAAAGGTCTGTCATCCCTTTATGCCTCTCCCTGGATATTTGGCTTCTCTTCTCCAATTCTGCACTTGAGAAGGGAATTGGAATCACATTTAAGATATGCCACATTTTTTTAGCACAGAATCTAAGACTACATCTCATATAAGAACGATTGCTCAGAGCCGCTCGTGTCTGGGAACTGGTGGGAATACTCAGAGAACAGCTGCACCGATCCAGATCGACTCAGACCATTTTGGCAAAAATTGCTTCACAATCAATCTTCCTTTCTCTCTGCATGAGAAGGAACAGGAGCATGTTCACTGGCCCCAGTCCCACTTCCCTTCTTTTGTCATTTTCTGTTCCTCTGCCAGTGGCATTTCTGAGCATCAGACTTATTTTTACGTTAATCTAAGATTTCTGCCAAAGCCTCAATGAAAAGCAGAAGCAGCAGTTACTACTTTTTTGAGCTAATCTTTGAAAAACAAATGTCCTGAAACCACCAGCTTTCTCACTGGAGCTTCTTCAAGCACAACCTACTGTAGACCAATCTAGTGCTCTTCTACCGTGCAGGTGGTCTTAAGGAGTTCAAGTTCAGACAGCTGAAGCCTCTTACTGCAGAGATGTCAGCAAGGACCACCAACTTAAGAGACACTTCAGCATCTAGCCTGTGCCACTGACTTGTAACACCACAATCTTCTGGCACATACATGAAGTTATAGCAGTGATAGTGCAGACAGCATAGCAAGGTCTAAGCAGGTCTGTTTTCTTGTAGAATATATTAAAATGCTTTTGGTAGGGAATACACATCTATATGAAACCTGCTTTGTTTTGCATGAATGAATTTTTGGTTTAATGGATTCCTTATCTCTATACCAGCTGATTTAGATATGGCATTTTGTGGTGTTTCTTTCTTTGATTTTTCTTTTTGAAGAAAGAGCAGGTCACCTTACCTTGTAGCTCTGTTGCATTTTTTTCCAGCTCTTCTGTAGTTGTTTCTTCAGGCTTCTCCAACACAGCTGTCCCTGGCTTCCCATCTATGGTATCTGTCTTAATAGTACCAAGGTTTACCAAAAGTTGCATGACATCAAACTTCTCAGAAACTGCAATGTTCTCCAGCACTTTGAGGCATTTAAATGATTTAAGTTCACTTACATTTTCCTCAAGAAAGAGGAGGTAAAGACTTAAGTCATCAAAACACTTTGACTTAAGTTTCAGAACATCAAAAGTTGGCAGGATTTCATACACTCTGAGAATACCCGAATTCCACCTCCACGGAACAAACATTGCATACACTACCAGCGGCATCACTAGAAGATAGACTATCAGGTTAATATAGCTGAGTACCTTGAAGACACCAACAGCAATAAGCTTGCACTGAACCACTTCTGGAACAGTTGTGTCATTCTTTAAGATCCCAGTTTTGATAGTGCAGAGAAACTCATCACTCAAAGAGGAGAGGCTAATGTAGTAGCCCAGGTACAGGCATGCAATGAAAATAATTACTAGCGTGAGTAAACGGCAGATAATGTATTTAATTATTAAGCATTTGGAATTCTTCTTTGTCTTCAGGTACTGCTCCACAATTGGGTATTTAAAGTGGCTTTCAGATATTTCCCACAAACTGAAAGAGAGAAAAAAAAAAAAAACAAAAACAAATCACACAGGCCAGATGCTGCAGCATTCACCTACCTCAAATTTCAAAGAAACCTAGTACTCTAAAATAGACACAAGACTGGAATTCTTCTTATTGGGGTAAATCAAGGGTAGTTTTACTGAAGTCAATAGAAAAACAACAGAATAGCAGATAAATGAAGAATATTGATACTCTAATACAGAAAAGCCACTTAAGAGACAAGAGAGCTCAAACATTGGAAAATGGAAAAAAGTATTGCTCTCGCAGTAAAAAAATATTTTTGTTCTTTTCCAATACAAAACAGATATAGTAAGGAAATCCATGAGGAAAAGCAGACTTCCCAAGCACTTGTTCAATAATAGCACACTGGAGGGCTTTTTACTTGTCGAGACCTAACTCCACATTTTAAAGAACAGACCTAAGTCCCCACTGCATTGCTTGTGCCCCCATATGCAAAGCAAAACAGGTACCCTGACCTAGGATGAAGCAGAAACTGGATCTCGTTAGAACAGTGCACCAATTTGATCAAGCACCCATTTTGCTTTTGTTGGTTTTGGTGTTTAGTTTGTTTTTTTTTCTTTAAACAGAAGCTTTGCAGACCTAGATCTGAAAGGACAGGAGATGGCAAATAACAGACTTTGCTCACAGTGTGCAAGCGACTGTCAAGAGCATTGAGAACTGAGGGCTGCAGCCATCCCTGTTTTCTTATGCTGTGGTGGGTAAAACTAATTTACACCTATTACAACTAAAGGAATCACGACATCTCAGGTAATTAGGGATCTGAAGAGCTCATCAAATGTTTTCTTCAAAAAAAGAAAGTTACAAGTTCCAGCTCCACATGCCCACAGTAGTGATTTCAGATATCTTCTCTTTTTATAACCAAATTTAAAAGTCTGTCAGGTCACCATTCAAACCTTTGCAATAAATTTCTAAGAGAGTGCAGGTGTCACATCTGTTAAGAGCTTAAGGAAAAGAGCAAAGAAAGCCAAGCCCCAGCATCTTACCTCTGTGTCAAGTTCTCATTAACAGCAGCAACTAAGTCAGTAGGGTCCTTGGGGTCTCCACTGCGGATGCTATTAGCAGCTTTGATTGCCCTGTTATAGGCTTTGTCAAGTTCTTCCATAATAAATTTCAGGTCTGAAGAAAGGTGAGGTGCTGCGGTGAAGCGCCAAAACAAACATGGTAGATACAGCAGGATAGCGACAAGCAGAAGGATGTACGGAAAGAACTGAAGGGAAAAAAAAATTCAGATTAGGCTCCACGTGTATATAAAATAAGTCAGCCAGTCACCATCATTCCCTATAAGTCTATTAAATTCCCTATAATTTTATTTAAATGCTTTTAGTAAAACCCACTTTTGTGGTTATTGGGGATACGCAGGAAAGTGAAACCTCTTTTTCAGAGAGCTCCAGCAACCTTGCTGCTGCTTGAGAGCTTTGCCAAAAAAAACCCAAACCAACAAAAGAAAATGGGGCAGAATAAAGTTACCATGATCCTGATAATATTTTCATTGCATATTCAGAACTGCACTGCTGGAGCTGAAATTGAGAGGCAGCATTAATCTGGGGAACAACAAATAGCAAAGGCAATCAAAGCAGTTGTCAGAGAGGCTGACTGGAAGAAGAGGATAGTGTCACACAACTCTCGCTCCCAGACGTGACACCACTGTTTATAGCAACTAAAATGCTCCAAACACCAGCAAAATCTCTCCTGCTCTCCATTAGCTGTCAGGAGGTTAATGAATAGACCCTTTACAGCACTGCATCTGCCTGCAAACACACACATCTGGTCAGAGCACATGACATACAGTGACTGTAAAGGATGCAAGTGTGGTTGTAATATTTAAGGGTATTTAAATACTTTTAGATAACTCCTAAATAGAAACAAACACACAGCATCAGAATGGTCTGGTGCTAATGCAGTGCTGAGAAGTTAGCCCTTACACAGTCCCCATTGCTTAGGGAAAGGGCTGAAGCAGGTATAAAATACAACAGCTTGAAGTCTTTCCGTTTTTCTTCTCGTCATCGACAAGTAGGTGTTTTTCACCATGAGATTTAATCTCTGATTCCCTTCAGCTGCTGGGAAGATGGTATTTTCTATCTACTGTGACATTATATTCAAGGTGTACATTCATACATAACATTACCCTTACAGAGACATGATGTAAGATCTAGTTAGACAAGCAGTTAGTCAATAAAAGGTACTGCAAATTTGGCTGAACTCTAATTTATTACATTCAACTTTTGACAGTAAGCGCACTTAACTCAAATCCAGCACCAGTTCCTAAGGAATTCTAAATTAGTTGTGGTGAACAACTTTGAAAGATATTTAAGGCATCTTAAATGTTACTGCCATGCACACATGCATATTCATTGAAAAAGCCAATGGAGAATTTTAGAGGAAACTTAGACTGAAGTCATTAATCAGTGCAAGTGGAACAGCTTGACTTACATTTGTAGATATTTAACAAGATGAGAATCTGGACCTAATATTAATATGTTAACTTGTGTTTGCATTAATCAAGAGCAATTAAAGTTTTGTATGCACAAAATAAGTAATTTGATGTTATTGAACATTTTATCCAGGAAAGGTACTTCTAATACTACCTAGCATAAAAGCAAAATCCTATATTATTATTAATACTAGGAATGCATATGATGTATTAACACATAAATAAAAGCTGACTTCTTAAAGGAACTGCATCAGCAACTGGAGACCAAAATACGAACCATCATTCTGGATGTGCAGGTTCTCTACATAGCAGTTAGACTGGAAAACTGTGACACTCAGTAAGACAAAGCCACGAAAAGCACAGAATAGCCAAAGAAAATCAAGGATGCTGTATTTAAAGGTCAACTTTCCCTTGTAACCCTTCTTATAAATTCATACTTGAACTGTTTCTGCTCAGCAGCAACATAATTGAACTTGGCCAAAATTGCTACTTCAGTCTTTAGCAAGCCCTCGAGAAAGAAAACTTCAAGCAAGGCTCACCTTTAAAACTGAAACGGAGATCCTGCAGGGATGGGCTGACCCAGTAACAAGATTGTTTCAAAAACCTAGTTAAGTTAGCAAAGCAGAGTTGACTGTGATTATACTGTACGTCCCACTAGAGGTAGCTCTTCCCCACCAGCAAGGAAGAAGCATCAACCCTGTACTGTGTACCATAGCTGTGGTCTGTCCCCTCTCCACCGCCGTGGATTGACCCCACAGGCCAGAGGGATCCCGGGGATTCCTTCTGACCTCCTGCCTCTCTGCCCTCTTTGCAGGCAGCAGATAACCTCAGATCACCTGCTTTTTTCCCCAGTCTATCCTTTCCAGTTGAGATGTAAAGCTCTGGCGCGTCCAGCATGGTTTTGTAGACATCTCATCAACTCAAACCCAACAGCTCAAGAATCTGCACTTCGTATTTATCACTGTGGACAATGCCACCAGGTCTCCCAGGTCTAAGTCCTGGATGCCTTGGTCTACCCAAAGCTTTATGCTTTCATGTCCAGGCTCCTTCAGTCCTCTGAATTCTGTATTATGTAGAAATAGAAATGATCTATCTATGAACACAGCTTAAACTTATCTAAGCTCCTCTAAGCTGCTGCAACACCTGTTCCACAGGCCTTAACAAATGCCAGCTTGTATAAGATTGCTGCAAAGCCTGTTTGACTTCACTTCTACGTCATACACCTTAGCACCCTTCCACTGGTGCCAGGCAGGGAAAGAAACAACAAAGAAACATCTGATTTAGTAAGGAGCGACCAAAGCTTCTTACATTGGTTTATACCACTTGGCTTTAAGACTCACTCATTTGAAATTTTACAGGTGTCAGAGGATTTATGAATTCCCTTTCTGAGCCACAAAACTGGGAACACCGCCAGCAGCATCTGATTAATCCTTGAGATCTCTTTACCCCAAGGCCTACAAGACAAGCCTCAAGAAGCAAGACAGTTGACACACTGAAGTCACAGCCCAAAACCTCCACTGTCCCGGTCCCCATCTCTTCCTTTATACCTAGGAAAAGACTCTGCAGGCACGTTCTGCACTTGTGTAGCACATTGGCATCAGCCCTGTTGCTCTGCCCCAGACCTCCTCCAATGCCCCCCATCTCCCCTGCCTCACTACAGACTGTTGTCTTACGAAACCCAGCCTCTGCCACCTTCCCTTGCACCTCCTCCTCTGCCCGACTCCTCCACCACTGCCTTTTCACCTAGAAGCATCACACCACGGGGCAAAGGCACATTTGCCATGCATTTACTGGGCTTGCCCTCGCCAGGCTCTCATCACTCCCAAAGCTGTAGCTTATAGCAGCATGAGAAAACACTATGCAGCTCTTTTCTGAATGGTCTCAAAACCAGAGCAGCAGCGTGACCGTTAGTCCAGCTCTTTTTGTTTGGAAACAAAAGCCTGTATTTGTCAGCCCTTCCACAGCACTTGATGCATGACTCCATCCTTCTCGGATTCTGGCTTTTTTAAAAATGAAAGATACGCTTGTTCTATTTGTTAACGGTAGGGTTAGATAACTAGCAAATTGTTTTGAATCATTAAAATTTAAGGCCTTGAACCGACAGGCAGAAGTGAAAATGCAAAGTCATCTGGCACGAGTCATAGGTTTCAGAGCAACAGATTCGGATTATCCAGCTCATCTGACTACATTTTACAGTCACACATAATGACTTCCCATTTTAAGACGACAACTCCGTGGTATTCATACGCAGATGAACATGTGCCATACGCCATTCTTTTACGGTTTATGTGTTTACTTCCAAGGCACCAAAGACACAAGGAGGAAATGCTACTTCAGTCCTGGATAGTTTGTAGTATTTAAGTTAAATAGGAAGTGTCACCGACCTCAAGAACTGTATGGTCAATGATACGCCAGAGAAAGATATTCCTTTGCTGTCTAGTTATCAAGTTCCTTTTCAATGGCAAGTTCACAGTGTTGGATGTAAGATGGTATGAGACTGCATAACTGAAGAAAGGTCCTCTGAAAACAGATTAGAACAGATACAATATCCTATGGTTCAAAATGCTCTTTTCTGAACTTCGTTAGTGAAAGTGCATTGAGGGCTACAACACCGTGCTTCAGCCTGGATGCCCTGAGTCTTCATTTCCACCCACCTGAAAGGTGAAAAGGACAGGCAAAAGCCCATCGAGTTTGGCACTCAAAAACAGAGTAGGAGAGCTTCAGCTAGGCTAATCCAAGTTTCTGGAAGGTACTAGGCATAGGTACCATGTGATTAATATTCAGCATGAGACAGACAAAACTAGTAGCATATGCACCAGGGACTCAAACTAGAGTCCCCTATATGTTTTCTGCTAAGTACTGCTGAGCTCCTGAAAGCTAAAGGTGATGGGAGCAGGTTCACCTGCCTTGCCTGTCCCTTAGTCTGATGGCACGCTGGGTGGGACAGCAAGCTCCCGAGGAAGCAGAGCAGTAGGAAGCCAAGAGGTCAGCTGCCCCTCGTTCCGTAGTGCTGCAGTCCATTTCACTTGACAAACCTTTAAGCTCTGTATACATTACAGGCTATATCCTTACTCCCCCTGAAAGCCAGGAGTACCTCATACCTGAGCAGGACACGTCTGAAAACTCAACACCAGAAACCGCCGAAGCCCATGTTAACTGGTACTGATGAGGCACTGAAATCCAAGCAGAAATCTGTGCAGGGAAGGATTCCTCCATCCAGGCTAAAGACGTGTGTGCTCAACATCACTGCTCTGCAGCAAGTAACTGGAATGGGAACTGCAGAATTGGTGCCTTTCTATCTCACAGCTGTACTCGGAGAGTAACAATCCTACAGGGCAGTCAAAGATGAAGAGGACCAGATCTGACACCGGCTCTTTGGTAGCCTGTGGCACAACACTCCACCAAGCCCTGCAACGCAGAAAGCATGATCTTTCTGGACAGCGAGAGCTTAGGGAATAGGATGTCCAGTAGCGTTACGATGCAGAGCCCTGGTCCCCCATCTCAGCACAACACGTTGTTTCCAGTCTTGTGTTCTACACTTGCAAAAGCAGCTATGAAGGTTATCATCAAAGCAAATAATTTGTACACATCAAAACACATGCACTTCTTAGATGTGTGCTGTTTTCTTGCATCGCTGACCATAAACAGGTTGAGCAATTTTAAATCAATACTAGCTACTATGACTGGAGAAGAAGAATAACCTGCACGCGTGCAGTCCAAACTCTAGAAATCTCGTGCCTATTTAACACACTGAACTGTTCTGAAGTCATGACCAT